GTAATTGGCAACCTCCTATTGTTTGCCGGACGTACATATAGATGTTCCTATGTGGAAATCCGGTCCTTATTGTAACACCCTTGCAATCAATTGCTATTATTTTACAAAATCGGTCAAGAAGTTCAAAAGTAAGTCGTTTCTCCATTGTTTCGTTTTTCATTAGTAAATGATGAAGTTTTTCGAGTTTCTTGTATTTAAATAGGCAAATAGATGGGATCGTATCCTTTTTTTACGCTCCTCGTTTGATTTATTTTTAACTAAATATTTCAGCGTTAATTGAGTTTTAATTTGGTTTAATATGTAGATGGAGCGGATGTATGAAGCGATCGGATGACGGTGGGGCCACGTGGTCGGAAAGAGAACAACTTCCTCCCGGCATATTGGGACCGATTAAAAATAAGGTTTAACTGAATTTGTGAATTTGTCTCTATTAATTAAATATTATTTGAGTTTTATAAAGTCCCTTTTGTGACTCGAAATATATTTTTTCGTCTTTAGCCAATCTTGCTAGAAAACGGGGACTTGCTCTGCGGATCTTCGGTCGAGAGCTGGAATTCTTGGGGTGCATGGATGGAGGTTTCTTTAATTCTATGGAGAAATCAACCTTATATAATTTTACAAATAATTTTTATATATTTTTTAATTATTGGTTGATTTTTTTTTTTAGATAACTGCGGATTTAGGCCGATCGTGGAGAAAATACGGGCCGATATACATTCAAAATAAATCTCTAAGTGTGATTCAACCCGTTCCTTACAAAACCGCAAAAGGAAATTTACGTGTTCTTTTGAGATCATTCGAGGGTATTAATAAAATTTGCATGTCCGAATCGAATGACAACGGTCACACATGGGATTACGCGAGGCCAACCGAATTGCCAAATCCAAATTCAGGTTTTAAAATAAAGCCCTCGTTTGGTTAGCAAGATAAATTCATGATTGATTAAATAATTACGAATTATATAAATATTTTTTTTTTTTTTTTAGGAATTGACGGAGTCAAGTTGAGCGACGGGCGTTTAGTGCTTGCTTACAATACAATTTCGCGGGGTGTGCTAAAAGTTGCGGTTTCTATAGACGACGGTGACACCTGGCAAGATGTTGTCACGCTAGAAGAGAACGCGGGAATGGAGTTCTCTTATCCAGCTGTTATTCAATCAAATGATGGATTAGTACACATCACTTATACTTATAATCGGACACAAATCAAGGTAATAATCAAACGATCGTGTTTCTTATTTGATTTATTGTAATTGGATTCTATTCGAACACTAAAAACTTTATTTGTTTTAATCGATGAAAATTGAAAACTGATTTTTTTTTTCTGCTTATGTTTACCTTTTCAGCATGTTGTCTTTCGACCTAATTGATTGAACGGAGCGCGTTCGGGGAAGCATTTTTTGCGGAAAGGTACTTTATTTTCGGCATCGAAGCGTATTAAATACGTATTTACTTTCATTTGTATTTATATATTATTCATCAAGACGATGTTTTTGTTAATTATTAAAGCCCCGAATCTGTAAATTCAGGTTCGTGTATTATAAACTCTCTTTGGAGTCATTCCACTTTGGGCTTTTGCATCGTAGACCTGCAAAAATGGATCGGGAGGGGTGCCCCCAGCGATAGCACTCCGACGCCCAAATTAGAATACCTCCAAGTCTCGTAGAGCAATATCGTAGAGATAAAAGTGTGATATATATATATATATATATATATATATATATATATATATATATATATATATATATATACTGAAGGGGAGTAAAATATTAAATTCATTTTTTGTGCATAAGATTTTGAAATTTGGACAAACAATATACTTTGATGCATGTCATATTAATTTAGCTTAATATGACATATTGAAGGGGATTTCGCGTTTTTGGTACAAACTTAAGCTGAAATTGGGCCATGCCCATAGAGGCCCAATATATACCTTAGCTCAAGCTCGAAAGCCCATTACTCAAGGTCTCAATTTACCTCTCTGAAAAATTATCTGAATTATATTTATAATGTCGGTTCAATTTTACTAATATAGTTCTGAATTTGAACGTGATTTATTAGTTTGTTTGGCAAATTCAAAACACAGAAACCGTAATCTTTTGAGTTAGTTTTCTAGTTCAACTTGAATCAGTTGATGTCGGGTGGTAAAGTTATGTCGAATGAGTTACTATTTGAATTTTAGATAACTCGAAACATCGAAGTAGTTGTCAATGTTCGTCGATTTATTCATATCTTTCTCGTCCGACGTCCAATCTCGATGATTCAAATTGGATTAAAAAACTAACTGAAAGAACTACAAATTCCATATTCAGAATTTTCCAAAATTCACATTAAAAATGGTCAAGATCACATCTAAAGTTGAACAATATTCTCAAAACTGAAACGACATTTATCACAATCCAATTTTTATTACAAAGTACCTCTGTAAAATTTCATCATTCAAAGATTGTGTACTAGAAAGAATACATCATAAGGGGATTTACATATAGTTCTTTCTTGTGTGATGGGTTTTTTGGTAAATACTTGGCAAATGGAGTTGGGATTAAAATTTTATTGGAATTTGTATTTGGAAAAATTGGATTGAAAAGTAAAGATTAAGTTTGCCTATTTATTTATAAATTATTATTTATTACTCCATACGAGTTATGAACTGTATCACCAATTTAAAATTATAATTTGCCGACCAAATCAAATCCAAATAGAACTATCAGCTTCGGGATTTGGAATATGCTATTCTTAGACGTGGATAGGACTGAATAAGAATCCCTTTTTATTTCATTTTCAATATTGTTTTTCATATTTATATAGAGTAAATTACAACAACCCTAATGTATGGTTAAATTACAAAAACCTCCCTCTTGTTTGGGTAATTACAATCACCCACCTCAACTATAAATCTTCTTACATGTCAATTCTTGCGGTTTCAAATTTAATGGAATCTTTGACATTATATGAAATATTATCACTTTTGTACCCATTTTATCCCATTCGAACTCCACATTTTGAAGCAAGATGATCATAATATATGTTTTTTAGCTTGTATATATCAAATTGTGGTGCATCAGAAACTGTATTTTTATACAAAACAAGTACAAACTAGAGCACATTCCGCAAAATCTAGACGATTATGTTGAATTTGACACCATAAGGGTGGAGATGTAAGAAAAAATCATAGTTGAGGGGCTAGATGTAATTATCCAAACAATAAGGATTTTTCGTAAATTGACCATACCTCAAGGACGTGTTTGTAATTTACCATATATATATATATATATATATATATATATATATATATATATATATATATATATATATATATATATATATATAAGATTCGAAATACCACTACATTAAACTAGCATCGATCATTCGAATAACAAAAGCTAGTGTTGGTGAACTCTTCTACTTAACGATATGTTACAAGATAATTAATGTAGAAAACTCGTCGTTCGTAAGCACTTAATTATTTAATGACGTATCGAAAACCTTAACTACGAAAAAAAGCACTTTTTAAAAGCGTGTGAGCTAAAATTATTATGGTATGTTCCTTTGGGTGGAAGGGTCTACCTACAATTCTGTTTCAACTTTTAAAAGCAGAATATATATATATATATATGGTTTTAATTGTTAATAATTTATCTAGACAACCACTCAATTAAATAAAAGGCTACGTTTATAAAGTGTCTTAGCCAATTTCTTTAATTTGATCTAACCTTAAAAATATCAATATTTTAAAAAAAGAATGAGCCCCCTATGATCGGAAGTGGAATGGAAAAAAGATTTGGGGAAAATTATAGTTTTCATCCCTCAAATTTGTACTGATTTTATATTTGGCCCACATGTTCATAAGAAAAGACATTGTGTGTCCCTCATGTTTCAATAATTTAACACTTTCAGTGATTTTCATTAATTTACCGTTAGTCCGTCAGTTAAGACAGTAATGGGAACACACTTGGTTCTGTTAGTACTACTAACAAAGTATTAACGGAAATAACTAAAATTGTTGAATTTCTGAAAAATGATGGACCAAGTATATTTTCTTATGAACATAAAAGGACCAAAACTGAAAATATATTTTTTTTTTTTTTGAGTAAGTGAAATATTCATTATGTGGTCATAACTTTTGAAGGGTCTTTTACTCTTTTTTTTCTCTATGGAGCATATGCCATTTATTAATATTCTTTATTAAGCAAATATTTTGGCATCGTATATTTTCCATATATACTATTTATTATTTTGTGGGGTGAGTCGGATACCACAAGTGAATTGAATTGATTGGCCTTTCCGTTTTAAGTATCTTAAGCAATGAACTTCTTTAATAACATAATAATTCATGGACTAATTTGTAAATAATATTTTTTTTTTTACAAAATAAACAAACACATTTATAGGGATTTTATAAATTTGACATGAAACTATTCTACCCAACATGTTATACATCAAAAGTCAATTAAAAATGATGTGTAATTTCTTGTGCAAGCAAAAAGGCTATGGCCATCTTTTGTTTGACTAGAGATTCCCTTACCATATATTGTCAATCTCATGGAAAAAGCAAATCCACTTTCTGTTTATGGTCTTTGGGTCTATGAGATGCTACACCCCGATAAAAATACGAGTGATTTTGAATTATAGATTTATAACACTGAATGTAGCACCTACAAAACCTGGTCTTTGTAAACATGCAGAGAGAATTAAAGTACACATGATTTGAGTATAATATATATATATATACAAGGATGGCCATGGGGGTACGGGGCGGGTTTTGAAAAATTCGCACCCGCCCCGTACTCATTACAAGTCAATCAGCTAACGGGATGTGGATTATCGGGGTATCTGGGACGGAGCGGATACTCGGTGGGGAGTGCTAAATTGCCAACCCTATATATATATATATATATATATAGCATGATTTAACTAAATATACATCGATAAAGTGTGGTGGGGTTTGACTAACACAAATGAAAAGAGTTTATGGGCCCTAATGTTTTTCAACAAAACATCAAATATTAGCCTTTGAGGGAAGGTTTTTTTTTTTTTTTTTTTTTTTTTTTTTTTTTTTTTTTTTGAGATCAAGTGAAGATTTTATTTGATCATAAAATTATTGATTGAAAAACTTTTAATTTGAATAGGGAAATAGGCCTATTGGAAGTCATAATAGTCGAATAATGTACTTATGACAATAGAGAAAGTTTCCCATTTATTTATGTTTTTTTAGTAATCTTTGTAGTGTTGTAGTAAGAACAAACAAATTAGTGAGGAAAAGTGCTCTATATATATATATATATATATATATATATATATATATATATATATATATATATATATATATATATATATATGAACTAAAATTATTGAGATGTATTGTATTGTTACAATTTGTATGCTTCAAATATGGGCATAATGTTTTAGACAAAAACAATCTCAATTTTCACATTTACAATTAGAAACCTTTCAAGCCACATAAGTAAATCCAAATCAAAATTTTGAGAATGTGAAAAGGAGAGGGCTAAGTAAATAATTTGAAAGAGATCTTAGTTGGTTTTTTTAATCAAAACTCATAAATTATGTAACACGGAATGGCGATATGGAAAACGGGGAAACTGCATGACGGATAATTGAACTGGGGGAAAACGTGTAAATATTAAAAATATAGGGGTGTATTTATAAATATCCTATATAAACATATATAAGTTTTTATCCATATAAATATATTAAAAAAATAACTATTATTATTAACTATCAATTTGCAGTTGATCATTAAATCATGTAAATAATTCGGAAAACAACAAAAATATTTGAAAATTAGCTAATTCAAGCACATTTCTTCAGAAATTTGCAAAATGGCCCATAAGGTGTCCGGCAGGTGTCCTCGAATGTCGGACACAAAACGTGTCTGAAACACAAATACTTTAAGAAGTTAAAGTTTTCGCACTAATTTGTCTAATTAAGTACAAATTAAAAGAAATTAAATGAAACTCGATACAAAGTCAGGTCCAAATTTGCCTAATTAACAGGCCAAGACTCAAATAAAATTATTTGTTGTTATATCTCAACTCTAAGTTTTTTAGGTCAAGTCCTGAAAGTCTTTCAGTGTAAATTATAAATGAATTAATTGGAATTAATTATTCCAAATATTACAGCAAAACCTGTTAGTGACGGCAAAACCTACTTGTTATGTGTCCAAAAGATATTTAATGAGAGCTGTAATTGATGTTATTTGTCCATAAGCATTTATTGAGAGCCCCAATTGTCCAAAAATTAGGTTCTCAAGACTTTATGCAACTATCACTATAATAATTTAAGAAGAAAAAAAATTGTTTTAATTATTTGTACCCTAATTAGAATTCAAATTATCATTAAATAATATTTTTTTCAACGTCTTTTTTAACTCTAACAAACAAATAAAAAGGAATAATTAATGAAGAGGAAATTAGTAGGAAGGATAGTACAGTTATACTTTATACTCCCTCTTTTCTATAATAATTATTAAAAAAAAAAATTGTTCCATATTATTTGTCACTTTATATTTGTAATACTGCTTTAAATGCATTTTTTCCTGTTTTAACATTATTAATTCAACTCTAAGTACTAACTCAAGATTATTTTAGCCTTTATAATATATTTTTTTTCTCTAAAAATAAAATATATTTATCGGCATTTTTAAT